ACAGGGAAGACAACCGTTTTGTCCTTCATCAGAACCCCTGCGCCGCCGCCGCCGCCAAGGAAGCGGTGCAAGGACTTGGCGTTGGGCTTCGCCATCAGCATGTCCTTTAGCGGAACAGGGCGCCCCCACTCAATCTCCTTCTTACCGTCTGTCTTCTGCAGCTCGCCGACCGTCAGCAGAAGCTCCCCAATCTCACCCGCCCTTTCCGGGAAGCCCCTTGAAATCGAGTAGTTGTAGGCCCCGGCAAGTACAAAAATCTTATGGTCCTTGACGATCATCGTTGGGCGTTCAACCCGCACTGCACCTCTCAGTCCTCCGTGGGGGACGGCGATTCGCCCCACCGCCTCCTCACCGCGGGCGGTTATCGCCGCTGCCACCCACTCCCGCGCCTCACCCTTCTCCAAGGTCCGCGCCACAACGTCCGAAGGAATGAAGCCGGAGCCGTACCCCAGAGAGGCCTGCGCAACGGCCACCAACAATCCATCCACCTCAACCAGTGAAGGAGCGTGGAACCCAACACCCGCAGTTGCAAAAATAGTATTCCTCTTAAACTTGTAGGGCACCTTCGTCTTGTGTTCCTCAAACATCACGCGTGTATCAGGCTGCGACCCCTCAGCGTGCACAACCTCACTGCTGCCGCACACCAACAGCACGCAGAGGAGCAGCAGCACCGCAGAAGAAAACATATGCCGGCACATCTTGGGCATGTGTCGCTGCTCACTCTCTCCCTTCCCTCCTTGTGGTGAATCCGCTCAGGCTGCAACGGTTGTGTGTATGTATGTATGTTGCTGGTGGTGACTGCAGAACCCTCAAAGCACACAATAGCGAGTAGTGTTTAGTCTCTTTCCTTTCATATATATATATATATATATATATATGTGGACGAAAGAAGCAAGGCGAAGGAAACAGGGCAAAATAAAAGGCAACGGCCCAAAGAACAGCACTCCCACACGCCTCGCAGGAGACTCACGCCGCAAGTGCCTGCGTCCTCCACGAGGTAGAAAAAGTCAAACGAAAAGAGAACAAGGCACAAGTGCCTGGCCAGAGCGCCCCCAAGCGTGAACGGCGCAAATCATAGCAAAAGTCCAAAATGGAGGCCGCACCGACGAACGCGTGGATCGCACGATCACGCACTCTCAGCCTCCCCCTGTGCCCTGACAGCAAAAAGAAACGGCAGCAGTAAAAATACGTGGCGCTGCAAGCAACGGCTACAAAAGGAGCATCCACGCCCACAGCAATACACGTATCATGGACGTGCGTGGCCGTGACTACCTGCGAATGCAGAACAGAAAAAAAAAAGAGTGAAAAGAAGAAAGGCATGTGAGAGGGCATACGCACACACACGCAGCAAGGGAAGAGGACGGAAAGAGGGGAAGGCACAACTCGGGCCCAAGAGTGCAGCACAGCCCACGCAGCGCCAAGCCTCGGAAAAGACAGCAAAAACAAAACAAAAACAAAAACAAAAACAAAAACAAAAACAAAAAACGACCCTTAGAATACAATTTAATAAAATTTACAACGACGACCCAAGTAAGAAAAAAAAAAAAAACGTTATTAAGTACGTACCAATAAATAGTTTTACCTAGACAAAAAC